AAGCTGTTGGCCCCGCGGCTCGGGGGCTGCTGACCACCGCGCGCCGAGGGGGCAATCCCACCGCTGATGCCCCCAGCCCCAGCACATCGAGCAGTGCCCCTGAAAGCCTGCCTGCTGTTGTGGTTGTTGTCGTTGGCCCTGCTGTCCATCTCGTCTCGGCCCAGGTGGGCCCGGCGTCTTGTCGTACTTGCCCTTGTCCTTGTTCTTGCCTTTGCCTTTGCCGCCTTTGCTGTCCTTGCCTTTGCCCTTCAGATGCTGAGTCGACTGGGTCGCTCCCCCGCCTGGCTGCCAGCACTCCTTCTTCGTGTGGCCTTTCTTCCCGCAGTTGTGACACGTGACGTTGGGATTGCCTTTGCCACCTCGATCCTTGCCGCCACCCTTGAGCCCGCTGATGTCCATCGGGCTCGGCCCGTCGTTGACCTTCGACTCCATGTAGCTCTGGATCTCCTCTCTCACGCTGGCGTGCGTCTTCAGCTTGTTCGCATTGAGAACCAGGTGATCCTTCAGCACGCCCTTTGTCATGCTGACCAGCACCTCGGTCTTGATATCCCCCTGCATGGCGATGCCCGCTCGCCTCTCGTAGACTCGCAGCCGCTCTTCCCACTTGGCGATGTGGCTGTTCAGCTCCTTCACATATACCGCTCCTGGCTGCATCAGCGCGCCCAGAATGTTCCGCATGCGACCAGCACCCTGCGGGTCGAACCTGCGAGACATCACCCTCCATGCCTCGAACCCGTCGTTGTCCTTGGTCGCCTGGACCAGATCCAGCGCCTCGCCTTCGCAGAGCTGCGCCAGCACCGCGGGCAGCTGCCTGCCCACGTTCTTCACGTCGGCCCCCTCGTCCATGCAGTCCGCGATCTCGCCGCGATCCTCCTCGGTCAGCGCCTCCTCCTGATCCTGGCAGTACTCTAGCGCCTCCTTGACGCCACTCATGATCCCTTCCAGGAGGTTGCCCAGCTTGAACGACCAGCTCGACAACGCCTTCATGTTTTAGCTGAACACCGTTGGCTTCCCTATGCCCTTGACGTCGACAAACTGCACCTTCTGCTTCCTTGCCTCGAGATCCGCGATGACCGTGGCCTGCAGCGCTGTCGTTGCCTCCAATTATTGCACTCGCTGCGTCTGCAGCGTCGCCACAACGTCCCTCTGTCACGTGAGCTCGTCCGTCAAGCCATGGACTTGCTCGACCAGTTGCCCGAGCTGCTCCTCCGCCATCACATCTGCTTCCGGATGTCCTCACGCAGCTTCTTCGAGGCAACCTGTTGTAAGAACTGGCCCAGGTTCCCCCAGATGCGCTGCAGCCTTCGGATCCTGCGCACACCGCGCACAAAACAGCGCCAGCGCACACAAGCAGAACGCAAAACCAAACAATCCTCCTGGTCACCTCCGTCGAGACCGTCCTCTTGGCCACCTCCGTCGTGACCGCTATCGGGGCGCCGCGCGCCCGAGAGAGTGGGGCTATATGGACCGGTAGCGGGCGGATGTGAACCCAGCTCCGCTACCATGACGATGCTATTTTGAACCAGCACGGCTGCAGACAGCAACGCGCTACCACAACCTGTTTATCAAGTACGTATTGCTACATTAACGCCGCGCACACTCGTGTCAAACAGTTGCAAAAACAGCTTCACGGATTGAGGGCGGGTGGTCTTCACAAGGTGGCCCTCGCCGCAGCAGCGCGCACACTCGCTTCAGAAAAGTGCAAGGGCTGCACGGACGGAGGGCGGCTCCTTTTCAAAATGTGGCTATCGTTTTGGCACCGCGCACGGTCGTCTTATTACAAGTAGCAAGTGCTTCACGAATGGAGGGCGGGTGTTTTTCCAACTGTGGCTCTCGCCTTTGCGCCGCGCACATCAGTCTTCAAACTTTGCAGGAGCTTCACGGGTCGATGGCAGCTGCTTCAAAGCATGTGGTTCTCGCATGAGCGCCACGCACACTCATGTTTTACGAGTTTACAGCCGCCTCAAGGTTTTTGTCGGGGTCAGCGTCCTGGAAATTGTCTTCGGCGAAATGTCGGACTGTCAGGGCGTAACAATCATGTTAATTCGCGGTGGAATCCCAGGAAACGCGTTCTGGCACGGTTCAAGACAGTCAAGACGCAACAATAAAGACACTCGCGGCGTTTGAAGTCCCAAGATTGTTGTTTTGGCACAGCTCAAGATTTTCAAGCGGCTGTTTTCCACCCGGGCTCCTCCTTAAGTGAAAATGAGCCCTTGTAGGGGCCCATGAAGAGGGAACTTGGTGAATCTTGGGCTTGCACTCGTCCTCCTCCTCCTCCTCCTCCGCCTCCTCCTCCTCCTCCTCCTCCTCCTCCTCCTCCTCCTCCATCGGACACCAACGATCGTCCCCCTCATCCCTTCTCCCTCACCTCGCAACTCTCATTCCTCCTCCTCCGCCTCCTCCTCCTTTTCCTCCTCCCCTTCCCCCCTCCTCCTCCCGAAGAATCGAGCAACGGATCTCTCCTGGAGCGCAGGCCCACCAGAATTCCCGAATGGTTTTCCAAGAGACCCCGATAGGTCAGAAGCCGTCAAAATCCTCTGCGTTTCCTCCTCTGTCCTCCCTCCTGTCTCGATTCCTTCTCCTTGTAAACAAATCCCCCCGTCGCACCCCGAGGCCAGTCGGAAGGACGAGCTGGGCGTTTCGCCTGAGACTCCCTCCCCGCTTATGACCCTGAAGCTGAAACGTTGGCAATATCACTGATGGAAGGCGGACCGTTTCCAACATGTGGCTATCGCCGTAGCCCCGCGCACACCCGTCTTAAACAGTTGCAAGAGTTCCACGGATTCCAGGAGGGTCGTTCTCAAAAGATGGCTCTCGTTTTAGAGCCGCGCACATTCGCTCTTTTTATGGGAACTGTTTACAAAAATGCAGAAAATCAGAGTGAGGGGGCCGAACGGTCATTCATTGTCCCTGGGTGCGTGGCTGAAGTGAGATTCCGCGGAGCGGATTCGTGTTGTTGTTGTTTGTTATTGTTGTTGTTGTTGTTTGTTGTTGTTTGTTGTCGTCGTCCCACCCGCAACCCGCCCCGCGACCCACCCGCGACCCACCCCGCGACCCACCCGCGACCCACCCGCGACCCACCCGCGACCCACCCGCGACCCACCCCGCGACCCACCCCGCGACCCACCCCGCGACCCACCCTGCGACCCACCCTGCGACCCACCCGCGACCCACCCGCGACCCACCCCGCGACCCACCCCGCGGCCCACCCCGCGACCCACCCGCGACCCACCCGCGACCCACCCCGCGACCCGCCCGCGGCCCACCCCGCGACCCACCCGCGACCCGCCCGCGACCCACCCGCGACCCACCCGCGACCCACCCGCGACTCACCCCGCGACCCACCCGCGACCCACCTTCGACCCAAACCACGTTCAAGGTACAAACCAACATTTTCGGCGCCTGCGGCGGGCTTTTTTGCATTCCTTCCAGGTGGAGAGCCCGCGACCCACCCCGCGATCAACTCGCGACCAACCCGCGACCCAAACCACGTTCAGGGTACAAACCACATTTTTCGGCGCCTGCGGCGGGCATCTTTTGAATCGTTCTAGGTGGAGAGACCGCGGCCCACCCGCGACCACGTTCAGGGTACAAACCAATTTTTTCGGCGCCTGCGGCGAGCATCTTTTGCATTCGTTCCCGGTGGAGAACCCGCGGCCCACCCGCGACCCAAACCACGTTCAGTGTACAAACCAATTTTTTCGGCGCCTGCGGCGGGCTGCTTTTGCAGGAGGACGAGGAGGGGGAGGAGGAGGAGGAGGAGGAGGAGGAGCAGCAGGAGGAGGAGGAGCAGCAGGAGGAGGAGGAGCAGCAGGAGGAGGAGGAGGAGGAGGGGACGACGACGATGACGTCGACGACGACGACGACGAAAAGGAGGAGGGTGGAGGATCGGGAGGGGGGGAAGAGGAGGAGGACGACGAGGAGGAACATGACGACAATGGGAGGACGATGATGGAAGGACGAGGGGGGGAGAGGGAGGACGAGGAAGAAGCGGAGGAGGAGGAGGAGGACGAGGTGGAGGAGGAGGACGACGATGACGATGAGAACGAGGACGAGGACGAGGAAGAGGAGGAGGAGTAGGAGGCGGAGGAGGAGGAGGGAGAGGAGGAGGAGGAGGAGGAGGAGAGGAGGAGGAGGAGGAGGAGGAGGAGGAGAGCGCCATCGACAAGGAAGGTGGGGGCCACGAGGTCCGCCGGCTTGACGACGCCCGCGTCGCCCGCGCCCGCCCCCTCACTCTTGTCCGCAATTCCGGGGTGCAAAAATAAAAATAGTCTCACGGATTGAGGGCGGGTTGTTTTCATAATGTGGCTCTCGCTTCCGCCCTGCTCACACTCGTCTAAACACATGCATTCGGCCCCTCCTCCTCCTCCTCCTCCTCCTCCTCCTCCTCCTCCTCCTCCTCCTCCTCCTCCTCCTCCTCCTCCTCAAGGTGCGGTTGTCGCCGCGCCGCGCACACTCGTCTTAACGGTTTCGCGGATTGTCATGGCTAAGATACCAGAAACGGTGCTCTCGAAGGCTTCGGGATGGTCAGGGCGCAACAATTACGTTGACCCGCGGTGTTCAAGTCCAAGGAACGGCTTTCTGGCACAGTTCAGGATCGTCAGGTCGCAGCAGTCAGGTTGATTCGTGGCGTTGAAGTCCCAAGAACGGTGCTTTGACACGCTTCAGAATCTTCAAACGGTTGTCTCCCAACGGGGCAATTCCCCCAGTGGAACTGGATCCTTGTAGGGGGCTATGAAGAGGGAGCTTGACGGAAGAAATTATTCCAGCATCGTTAATTAGCCTTGGGTTTACACTGGTCCCTACTCCTCCTCCTCCTCCGCCTCCGCCTCTTCCTCCTCCTCCTCCTCCTCCTCCTCCTCCTCCTCCTCCTCCTCCTCCTCCTCCTCCTCCTCCTCTATATCATCGTCATCCTCCTTTCATGGTTCATCCTCTTCATCTTCTTCCAACGTCTCATCCGTGGGCGTGGGGATGGAGGGAGAAACCGCGCTTCTGCTCGCGTCCTCGGCACGCATGGGAAGCAGCAGGTAACCCCGCTTGTACCTGAGGCGGGAACATGATGGACAAGGGAGAAGACATGGACAAGTAATATTCGTCGGTGTTTGAAAACAAGCAGGCGAGGGGGTGATGATGATAAGAGAAGGGGTAGAAGAGAAGGGGGAAGGGGAGCAGGATGACGAGAGAACGGTGAACCTGGGGATGGACAACACCTCCACCGGCGAAGTGCGTCCCCGTACACAGCCCAACAGGGCACGGTGGTACGGCGGGGGGCACGTACAGGCGAACTCGCAACAGCTCGGGCGGCCCTGCGACGGCTGCCATGCGCAAGTCGAGCTCGTGAGGCCAACGCTTCCGCCTCCCTGCGGCCGCTGTGCTCTCCCCGCGGTCCAGGGACGTCCTTCTCACACGGCTCCACCTTCGGGGCGGCGAGCCTCGGCGCCGCCACCGCTTCCAGGGAGCAGAAACAGAGCAGCGGGGCCACGAGCAGGCGCAGGGGCGGATGACGAGGCGGAGGGCCACAGCGGAGGGGGGAGAGGGAAGGGGGAGGCGACGGGCGAAGGGGCAGCAGGGAGGACGAGCCCCAGGGAAGGACGAGGACCAAGTGGAGGAGGACGGGGAGCAAGATGACAGGTCGAGGTGCAGGGGCGGATGATCGGGCGGATGATCTCCCCTCCTCGGCAGGGGGGAGCCGGGGGCGGGCCGAGAGGGGCTGCAGGGGCGGGGGGAGAGGCGGGACGGGACGCACGATGAGAGTCAGGAGATGGGGGCGGGCAGGGACGGGGCGGGGAGGGGGAGAGGGGGATGATGTTGTACTGCTTCGGGGCCGTGCCACTAGTTCCAGCCCTTCGGCCGCAGCACCCCCCGTCACGTGCGCCTCCGCCCGTGGGCCCTCGGACCATCGCGACTGGGAGGCGAAGGGGGGGGGAGGAGAGGGGGGGGGGGGGGAGGGGAGGGCAGGAGGAGGGGCGAGCACAGGGCGTCCACGTGGGAGTGCCAGAAGTGGAAGGTGGGCTCTGGGATGATGATGTCCTGGGCAGCGCTGACCGACGGAGCGGGCGCGCGGGGCGGAGGCGGCTGGGAGGAGGAGGAGGAGGAGGAGGAGGAGGAGGAGGAGGGAAGAGAGGACGACGACGACGACGACGACGACGACGACGACGACGACGACGAAAACGACGACGAAAACGACGAAAACGACGACGACGACGACGACGGCGACGACGACGACGAAGAGCGAGCGAGCGGGCGCGCAAGGGCGAGCCGGCCCGTCTCGGCTCGTGGCCTCCCCGCCCGCCCCGCTGGCCTGCCGAGCTCCGGCGGCGGGGCGGTTGCCGCAGGAGCGCTGCTTTCTCGTACAGTCGCGGCGTTGACCTACGGAACCCTAAAATAAGGTACGAGGCCCCTCTTTTCCATAAGTTGACCTCCGATTTCCTGTCGAAGACATGAGGAAAGCCCGAGGCAAGCTGTGAAGCACTTAAGGAACGCGGAGCCCCTCCCCAACTAAAAGGGTTCCTTCTTCAGGGCCCCGACTGTAGGCGGCGGGGCGGCGAAGGCCGCACCAGCGCAACAGCTGGGCAGGGGCACCAGCTAGCGAAGTGGCCGGCGTGCCGGGGAGGGAGGTGCCGTGGTCTGATGACTGGGCTCCTCTGCCCCTGTTGACGAAGCTCTCGGCGTCGCCTCGCCTCCTCCCTTTGGGCGGCGGCGTGCAGGGACGGAGGGGGGGGGCCGACGAGAGGAAGGAGGGGCGCTCGGGCGCCGAAGAACTCGACGATGAGCAGCTGGCGGCAGAAGCGCTGTCAGAGGGAGCCCTGCACAAGGAACGAGGACCCTTTCTGCCACAAGTTTACCTTCGGTTGCCCATAGCAGACACAAGTAAAAACTGAGACACACTGCAATGAAGGAGCACTGAGCCCTTCCCCAGCGAAAAGGGTCCCTTCTTCAGCGGCCCGACTGTATGATGCTGACCTCGCTGTCCCGTTTCGCCGCTATCCGCGTCGGATTCACGTCAAGCATCGAATCCGCGTCGAACGCGTGGCGAAGCCTCGTCGAATCCGAATCCGCACCGAATCCAGGTCAGAACCGCAGCTGATACGGAAGTGCCGACTGCGGTGGTACGTGGGCTCCGAGAGCGTGTGCACGACCAAGCTGCGCTCAAGACGCGCTTCTGCCGCAAACCGAGGACGGGTCGCTCACTGGGTCTTTCTCTCCTCCTTCGTGGTCCGCTCGGTCACGCTCGGAGCAGTATGCTCGGTCTATTCGGGAGCGTTCGAATCCGATCGGGCATGACGATTGGCATTCTTGAGCTTGATGCCGAGGGTCTCGAGGCAGATGCTAAACTCTTCACGGTTTGCACTTCTTAACCTGCGTTTCTGCGACCAGTCGGCTGGGACGTGCTGACTTGCACTTCCAGGGCTCGGTGCTGCTGGTGCCTGACTTTGCCACCACGATGGGCTGAGCAGGGGCGCATGCTAAGTTGGCCCACGGGCTGTGAAAGCCTGTCTCTGGCTTGCTTTGAGACAGACCCCCTTTCATCCGACGCTACCTCGGATATTCCTGAAGTTCCCCCAACTTGAACCCCAGACTATCTTTTTTTCCTAGAATGCATTCTCCCCAGCGTGCTAGAGGCAACGGCCCGGCCATTCAATGACATGATCATCCCTCCTTATCCCTCTCGCTGTCACCCTCCCTCCCTACTTCCCGCCCTTCCTCCCTCCCTCTCCTTGCTTTATTCCCCGCATCTCTCCCTCTCCCTCCTGCCTGCACGTTTTCCTTCTCTAGCTTCTCACCTCGACGCCCCCTCCCTCCCACCACCTCCTCCCCTTCCTCCCCCGCTCCCTCTCCCTCCCGCATGCCTCCCTCCTGCCATCCTGCACTCGTCCTCCCCTGCTCCCTGCCCCCCTCGCCCCTCCCAGCCTCCCCGAGGTGCTCCGCGGGGCGGGCGGTGTTCTCCGCCCTGCCGATCGGCAGTGGCTCACGCGATCCGACGGCCACTTCTCGCCCGGGGTGGCAGGGCCGCGAAGCGTGCGACTGTCCGCTGGTGCCTCGAGCAGCGTGCTGCCTCTTACTGCCTCTTGTCTCTCGTCCTGCCCACGGGTTACTGCTAGGGGGCCACGCGCGAACCCTACCCCTACCCCTCACGACTTCTGAGGGGGTGAGGGTAGGGTTCGCACGTGGCCCCCTAACTGCCTGCTGGGGCTGGGGGGGCCAGCCCATCAAGATGAGTCCAGCGAGCGGTCCAACCCTATGCAGTCGCGTGTCGCGCAAGGCGTGCGGCGTGGCCCTGTCTTCAAATCGAGCGCGCCGCGGGGCAGTGCCGTGCGGACGGGGGGCTGCGTGCGGAGCTAGCAGGCGCAGCAGCATTGAAGCCTCCCGTGGGTCATGGTCCGCGTGAGGGGTGAGCCGAGATCGTGCGGGCGCGCCTCGTGGGGCCGCAGGTGGAGCTCCTGCGGGACACGACCCGTGTGAGGGCTGTGCCGAAAGGGGCGCGCCGTGGTCTGTGAACCCCCACTGCTGCCGTAGGTTGAGCTTCATGTGGGTCACGATCTCGTAAACATCAAGGACACCAGCATATGTGTATATATGTACATCAATGCATATGCGTATGCGCATTAGTATACATTCAACAACTATACACTTACACTTACATTTACATTCACCATTACATTTACATTCACATATACATATACATATACACATACATATACATATACATATACATATACGTACACATACGCACATATGGTATACACATAGAATACGGATCTTGCCCCCCCTCCTTCCTTGCCTCTAAGCCTTTTCTCCTGGCTGGGCCAGTCAGCCGATGAATACGGGTAGCTCTCGGCACGCATCGAGCGACGGAGGCCATGCCTCCGCCGCGCCTGACGGGCGCCCATCGAGTGACGGAGTCCCGTGCCTCCGCCTCGCCCGACGAAGCACTGCTACCGAGCGAAGGTGGCTCATGCCACCGCCTCGCCCGACTACAGGCTTGAGAGCACCGCCGCGCATTCCACTATTGGCGCAGCCACTTTTACCCCGAGCGGGAAGCTTTCGCCACTTTTCGTGCGGCCCCCCACGCTGCGGGGAAATATTTTCATGTGAGCTCGCCTGGAGACCAACGACCCGTTGCGGAAGCCTCAGGGCCCACAGAAAGCCTCAATCGAACGACGCAGGCCCAAACGGTTCGGTTCGAACCCCAGGGGCCAAAGACAGCCTCCATCGAGCGACGGAAGCCTATGCCCCCGCCACGCCCGACGCAACACCATCGGGCGACGCAGGCCTGTGCCTTCGCCCCAACCGACGCGAGAAAAAGGCTGCTACGCATTCCAATATTTGGCGATGCAACTCCCCCCAAATGCTCGACGAACTCCTACACCGAGACACCTGTAAAAGAGAAGATCTGCGAGGGTTCCAAACGAACACTCCCGCGCGATATTGAACTGCCCCAGCCCCAGAGACCTTTCGTTCAAGCTCGAAGCCGTTAAGGTTAGAGTGAGGGCACCGAACGATCTTACACTCTACACGAAGCCCCTGGCGCAACTAAAGAGTGAGTTCAGCTGGTCGCCTCGACAGCCAGGACGCCCCCTCACTCCTATCCGCAACTGAAGGCTTTGCGAAAGCAAGCCTTAGATTAGAGAAACCCCTTGAGCGGTCATGCGCTGTCCCAAGGTGCGCCGCAGAAGAAGAAAAGGTCTTGGCAAACTCAACTGTCAGGGCTCGAACCTGACGCGAGGATCCAACACCAAATCTTGGCGAAACCAACTGCCAAGGCTCGAACCTGACTCGAGGACCCAACATCAAATGACCCCAAAGCCGGTGTGCTCAACGTACCCATTGGCCACCAAGCTTCGCGTGGGTAGACGCCCCGCGATGCACGACTCGCCGTTTTCGTTGCGCCCTCGCGCCGCTTCGAAGGGAAGGGCACCTTGCGGCGGAGGGCTGGGCCTCTGAAAAAGGGCACAGGTGCGGGCCTGGCCGCGAGGCGCGAAGCGCGGTCATCTTCGCGCCCCCGAGGGCGACCTGGATTAACGACGGTATCGCTGACGGCGTGTGCCTTGTGCCGAAGCTGGTGCTCGAAAGCCTCGCTCGGCTAGAAGAGAACATTGTAATTGCCGCGGGCGTAGAGCTCAGCGGCTGCGGCTGCCGGCCTTGCACCTGTCAGCTGCTGCTGGTTCAGCCTGCTCCAGAGCAAGCGACGACCGTGTACGTGAAAACCGACACGGGGGCAACGGGAACCGCCATTCCTCCTCCTCCTCCTCCTCCACCTCCTCCTCCTCCTCCTTCTCCTCCTTCTCCTCCTCCTCCTCCTCCCTCCTCCTCCTCCTCCTCCTCCTCCCTCCTCCTCCCTCCTCCTCCCTCCTCCTCCTCCTCCTCCTCCTCCTCCTCCTCCTCCTCCTCCTCCTCCTCCTCCTCCTCCTCCACCCGTCACGCTGTGATCTTCGCGCCCTCGCAGCGCCCACACGCAAGAGCGCACGGCCTCTGGAGAGGGGCCGGCTGCGGCCGAGCCCGCGAGACGCGGACCGCGATTACCTCCGCGCCCCCCACGGGTACACCTTAGGCGATGCTTAAGAAAACTTGAATTTTCGGCCAGAGTCTCGATCATTCTGAATGTTTCAATGTAATTCCTAAGATTTGAATGGAAACTTTAGGTTTTTAATGCAAGTTCTGAGACTATGAATTTCTTAACCCATGATTTCTTAAGCATTTCGCAGGGGGTAGCCTTTTTTGTTCGAAAGGGCCCGACAGCTGGCCTCAGCCCTGGGCCGGGGCCGCTGCTCGGCCACCCCCGGGCCGACCAGGAAAGCAGCCCTGCCGCCGCCACGCCATGGCGAGCCGACAGCAGGCGGGTGCACATCTTCCACACAAGGGCTCCCAGCTTCGCGCTTCGCGCTGCGCGAAGCGCGAAGTGCGAATAACTTCGCGCTCTCGCGCCGCCTCCCAGGGGAGAAGAGGAGGAAGAGGAGGAATCGAAGCCGAACCGCGAACCGCGAAGCGCGAATAACTTCGCGCCCTCGAGGGCGCCCTTGCCACAGCTC